GAAATACGCCAAATGCTGCACTTAGTCCCCATTATACAAACCAGTCATAATGAGTTTTTATAAGGGAAGTGTCAACTGTAGAAAGAAAGTAAAATGGCCCACTTCGAGATATGCCAGCTATCAGGTCAAGTGCATGGAAGCTCTTGAGTTTATAATCACAGCATGCTGCATGCGGACTCATGCACATTTGTTGAGTGTTTCATTTTTTCTTTAATCAGGAAAGAGTGATTGTGTGCATGAATGATGGAGCAAGAATGCAAGAGGAAGAGATATTTTGGACGTTGAGGATAAGAACAGTGTTTAAATGTGAGTGAGAGATCTTCTTCAGAAACTTTGGTAAAAAATAAGTGGATCAGAAGTTGAAAGGCAGAATAGATGGCTTATCAGCAAGCGACTCTCAACATGAGGTAGATCAGGGGAAGGAAAGGTGTAGATGGAGGACACAGGAGGGGGTTTGTTGGGGTTGAGCTTAAAGCTCTGTAAAGCTCTTCCCATATTTGCCTCTATCATACTTCTACATTCTGATGGACAGAGAGAGAGAGACACTTGTCACATTTGAAGCATGTGAAGCTAAGACTATCTAAACCATGAGAGTGACTCTTGTATACCAGAAGTGAAACACACACAGGATTGCCACTGTCCTTTTTTTTTCACTTTTTCAGCCAAGGATTGTAAGCGTGTAATTTATTTTCTTCTCTGTTTTTTGATGGATTCCACATATATTTATATATTTCTTTACACACATACAGATATATATATATATTTCTGTCAAAGAATCATGAAAATAAAAATGTAACCGTTATTATTTCACCAAATCGGCATAGTATAATGATTTCTGAAGGATCATGTGACACTGAAGACTGGAGTAATGATGCTGAAAATTCAGTGTTGCAGTCACAGGGATAAATCATATTTTAAAATATATTTAAAAAAAAAAAAATGGAAAACAGTTATTTTAATATTATTTCACAATACCGTATTACTGTTCTTTCTGTATTTTTATCCAATAAATGCATCCTTGGTGAGCATAAGAGACCATTTTAATGTGTTAAATTTAACAAAAGTGTGTCCAGATGTAGCACATACAGAAGCATCCAACATTTTATGTTTCAGTTTTGTTAACGTGATGAACAGTGTATTTTGATTAGAGCATTTTCTGTCTGGCTGGACTTTTGCTTTTAAACATGCACACACACACTACAGAGATTTCAATCTTCAAGTCTATCTTATCTGCGTTTCAAATATCTTAACCTGATTTAGCCTGCGTTCCCTCTCCTCTCTGTCTCAAGTCAAGAAATGTGATGCTTAGATGTTTTCCCCCCCTTTTTTTCCCTTTTTTTAACAAATAAACACTTCACGCATCATTGTGGGAGAGAACATTTCATGCTATCTCATGCCATCAATCAGTTGTGCACTTTTAAAAAAGACAGCGGGTCCTGTCACAACCACAGCCAGGACTGCTCATTCTCTACATTACACAACATTAGCTCACAACGCCCAGATAGAAAGATACCTTTGTCTAGTGATTTTCGTCTCTGTGATCCATGCTTCTCTCAGGTGGTCTTGGTGGGAACTCTGTCAATATTTACCAATGCTGTGACAATCTGGATCAGTCTGCAATCAAACCCAAGGTTTTAAATGCCTTCAAACCGCTCAAATGATTGTGTTCACCTGCTAGTTTTGACATCATCTTTTCACTGTGTCTATGCGCTGTATTGCGGTAGAGTTTCAATCGAACATGTCAGGAGAGCAGACAATTCCTTTCAACGAGTGTCTAGTCAGCCTTGTGTGATGTGTGTTACTGAAAAGCCTCTGCAAAGCATTTTAAACACAATTGTAACTGTAAAAACACCACACAATCAAATATAACGTGTTTATATGGTGCTGAGCCGTAAAAGTCGTAAAACTCCAAAGCTCCAAACTTTTAGGCGATCCAAAAAGCAAGAGGAGAAAACTGCATGAGACCAGAGAGGAAATGAGCCAGACTCTCCTATGGCTACAAAGCACGTTAAATCACCTCCCACCATCAGACTCCAGAGTGGGTGGATGCTGAGGACATCTTCATCCCAGATATCTGAGCAGGACTGCCAGGGGGCCACGGGGGTGGGTGGTTGGAGGAGACCTATGTGAGGATTCTCATCCAGTGCCAGATCGCTCTGGGAATCCACATCATGTGCAAGGGAAGGAGGAGAAGAAACCGTAATCCCCCCAGGAGTTTCTGCACACCACAGAATCTCATTTTTGATTCATGAAGAGGTTGCAGTGACATCAGATTGCACAGCTACGGAGATAGAAATGGAGCGAACCAGTTGAAAATAACAGTTCTTGAAAAGTAAGCCACAGTGTATGTATGTCTTTCTTCAGTGGAACATAAAAGAGAATTTTAAAATACATCTAGCTAGTTTAAATAAAAGCTCTTCAGGACACTCCAGGAACCTGAAATTGAATGTCTTTTGATGGGAAGGGAATTCTGATGAGACATTAGAGACTTAGAGATTAGAGACATCAAACATACTTAGAGTACCATCTAGTGGCGGAGAGGTGTATTAAACTGTAAACCAAGCCTGCTCGCCTACTCTGCCTCAGAAAATAGAGGAAAAAAGAGAAAATGCATCCGAAATTGCATACTTCCTTACTATATACTGTAGTAGGTGACCTACTACTTCCAGCGAGATTCTGAAGTATGCATGTGATGGACACTTTACTATCCCATGAGGCCACGGGAGAGAATTTGCGAATAGCGAGCGATGTGCCTGATGCTGGTGGATCACATGATAATGACAACATGGTGAATGTAGGATGTCCAGATTACATTCATACTACACACATGCATACTATATAAAACATGCTTTTTAGTAGCCGTGAAGTAATTATTTGTTCAAAATAAGCTACTCAAGAGAGTATGCGATTTCATATGCAGCCATAGTGTTAGGTTTAACAAGTAGGCCAAGAGGGTCAAAGGTCAGATGGTAAAAAAAAACTGAAATAAAATAATTATTAAACTGATATGAGCCTCTATTGACCCTTCACCAGGGTTTACCTTTAAATATGTATAGCCTACATAGTAAGTTTAAGACGTTTTATACATGTTTAAAATGCAACAAATGTTCAGTCATTTAAAACATCGAAGCAGTTAGTATAAAATTAAGCTTTTCATTAGAGCCCAACCATGATCCATTATTTACTTCTTGCTACTTGATTGTGGTGGTATAAGGGGGTGGGACCTTCTTATTCAAAAGAGTGTTTAATTTGAGGGGGAAAATGGGTAGCTAGTGCTTTTATATTTATTTGTTTGTTTGTTGTATTAAATTATTTGGTAAAACTTAGAAAAGATGTTGCATAGTTACCTGTAATCCTCTGAGTTCTACATAATCCTCTATAAATTGTTAACGGATTAGTATGGTCCTTCTCAAAAAATTAGCATATTGTGATAAAGTTCATTATTTTCCATAATGTAATGATAAAAATTAAACTTTCATATATTTTAGATTAATTGCACACCAACTGAAATATTTCAGGTCTTTTATTGTTTTAATACTGATGATTTTGGCATACAGCTCATGAAAACCCAAAATTCCTGTCTCAAAAAATTATCATATCATGAAAAGGGTCTCTAAGCGAGCTATTAACCTAATCATCTGAATCAACTAATTAACTCTAAACACCTGCAAAAGATTCCTGAGGCTTTTAAAAACTCCCAACCTGTTTCATTACTCAAAACCGCAATCATGGGTAAGACTGCTGACCTGACTGCTGTCCAGAAGGCCATCATTGACACCCTCAAGCAAGAGGGTAAGACAGAAAGAAATTTCTGAACAAATAGGCTGTTCCCAGAGTGCTGTATCAAGGCACCTCAGTGGGAAGTCTGTGGGAAGGAAAAAGTGTGGCAAAAAACGCTGCACCACGAGAAGAGGTGACCGGACCCTGAGGAAGATTGTGGAGAAGGACCGATTCCAGACCTTGGGGGACCTGCGGAAGCAGTGGACTGAGTCTGGAGTAGAAACATCCAGAGCCACCGTGCACAGGCGTGTGCAGGAAATGGGCTACAGGTGCCGCATTCCCCAGGTCAAGCCACTTTTGAACCAGAGCGGCAGAAGCGCCTGACCTGGGCTACAGAGAAGCAGCACTGGACTGTTGCTCAGTTTTGCATGTCATTTGGAAATCAAGGTGCCAAAATGCCTGAAGTCCAGTGTCAAGTACCCACAGTCAGTGATGGTCTGGGGTGCCATGTCAGCTGCTGGTGTTGGTGCACTGTGTTTTATCAAGGGCAGGATCAATGCAGCTAGCTATCAGGAGATTTTGGAGCACTTCATGCTTCCATCTGCTGAAAAGCTTTATGGAGATGAAGATTTCATTTTTCAGCACGACCTGGCACCTGCTCACAGTGCCAAAACCACTGGTAAATGGTTTATTGACCACGGTATTACTGTGCCCAATTGGCCTGCCAACTCTCCTGACCTGAACCCCATAGAGAATCTGTGGGATATTGTGAAGAGAAAGTTGAGAGACGCAAGACCCAACACTCTGGATGAGCTTAAGGCCGCTATCGAAGCATACTGGGCCTCCATAACACCTCAGCAGTGCCACAGGCTGATTGCCTCCATGCCACGCCGCATTGAAGCAGTCATTTCTGCAAAAGGATTCCCGACCAAGTATTGACTATTGAGTGCATAACTGAACATAATTATTTGAAGGTTGACTTTTTTTTGTATTAAAAACACTTCTTTTATTGGTCGGATGAAATATGCTATTTTTTTTAGACAGGACTTTTGGGTTTTCATGAGCTGTATGCCAAAATCATCAGTATTAAAACAAAAGACCTGAAATATTTCAGTTGGTGTGCAATGAATCTAAAATATATGAAAGTTTAATTTGTATCATTACATTATGGAAAATAATGAACTTTATCACAATATGCTAATTTTTTGAGAAGGACGTGTATGTGTTGTAGTCTGTCTGATGGAAATTGGCTGTGCATTCTTGTCTAGCCTACAGGTTGTGGTGGAGTTGCGTTGTATTTGTCCGCATACAGGGGGCGCTCGAGTGTAATTTCTGCTGGTCTCCATCTGTTGGCTCGTAGGAGCGTTGCTGTGATTCACAGCTGAGGAGCTTCAGTTCTCTCCACGGGCAGGGATGCTGACGGGTCATGTCAAGAGAAGAGGCGAGTGGAACCTAACTATTACTGAACTTTTCTTCTTCTGGACAATATACTAATAAATCTGAAGTCATTTCAAAGAAGACCTTGCTGCTCAAGAGTGTTCGTTTCATCTTTCTATAAGAAACTGATTAATTCGTAATATTAAATCCCTTTCGGCGGACATGTAAGTAACGTTAGTTAATTACAGTAACACTGCATATGTACAGATTAGCTGGTTAGTTTATTAGGCTATAGGCTAATTGAACCACATTTACTCTGCAAACGAACGCCATGACACGACGCGACCATTATTATTAGGAAAAGTTGCTGTTGAGTTTTAGCCTAATTTGTCGCATCGCGTTGCTGGCACGGTGTGTGACCGTTGTGTAAAACTCCATCGTTTTGATTCTCATTGTTTCTTTTAGTGGCGTGTCATCGTAAAATGTTTCCAACGAGAGGAGGCTTGACTTTTCTCACTGGGATTTTGATCGTGGCGCTGTCATGTGAAGCGAGAGGTGAGTCGTGTTGTCTGTTACGAGTCTTTTATTCATTCATTAGGGCTTAGAGAGCTTTTCCTTTGACGATACAATAGTAAGCCGTCTAATGAAGATTTTATATTATTGGCTCATAAATAACAGCTTTCAGTGTGATTTTTAGAAGACCACTTTTTTCTTTTTGAACATTTGCTCCTTATCTAAATTTGGAAAGAAATTCAAGGATACATGTTCAAAACCAATTATCACAAATAAATAAATGCACATAATTTTCCATTTTACACATGGCTTTTTTTTATGAAATGTGGGTGTATTTTGCCCTCTAACTTTCAAATTTACCCAAATCACTTTTAATTGCTGCCTTAATGGGTTTTTTTATATAAAAAAATTAAAGTGATAACCTGCAGTGATAAGTTCAGTGCACTTTTTTTTAATTGAATTGCAGGGTTAAATGTTTATGCTGGAATTACTTAAGCTACTGTTACAATTTAAACTTACAAGCTCAAAGATGATGTTATAACATAACTACAAGAAAATTGTTACAGTGGTACTGAACCTATTTTATTTTGTTATAATGTCAAGACCTTAAAGGGATAGTTCACTTTGAAATTAATTTTTGGTATGTTTTAGCTTACCTCAAGGGCATCCAAGATGTAGGTGTCTTTGTTTCCGCAGTAGTTTCAATTTTGATATTTTTAATATCAATATTATTATTCTTGTCTGTCAGTCATATAATGCAGGTCTATGGTCACTTCCTCAAAGAGCATGCACAGAGAAGTCCAAATTAAACATGATTTAATGACTCGTAAATGTAAGTACACATTGATGGCCTAAGACACGAAACGAGCAGTTTGTGTGAGAAAACGAACAGTATTTATATCGTTTTTACCTCTTGTAAACACAGCCACGTCCAAGTGATCTGAGGGCGTGGGCGCTTCGGTCTTTTCCGGCAAGCGCCGGAAAGCGCCGGAAGTGATCTCTCGCGTGTACGTCACTCATACAATTGTTTTATTTTAAATTTATTTTATTTATTTATTTATTTTTTACGACGGTTTAAACATCCCGGATAAGTGCAAATTAGTACCATTTTAATTAGCCGTCTTACCTACAATCTCTGTTCTGTATAAACAATGAGTGACGTACACGTGCGAGAGATCACTTGCCGGAAAAGACCGAAGCGCCCGCGCCCTCAGATCACTTGGACGTGGCTGTGTTTACAAGAGGTAAAAACGATATAAATACTGTTCGTTTTCTCACACAAACTGCTCGTTTCGTGTCTTAGGCCATCAATGTGTACTTACATTTACGAGTCATTAAATCATGTTTAATTTGGACTTCTCTGTGTATGCTCTTTGAGGAAGTGACCATAGACCTGCATTATATGACTGACAGACAAGAACGGTTTGACCTAAAAATATCAAAATTGAAACTACTGCGGAAACAAAGACACCTACATCTTGGATGCCCTTGAGGTAAGCTAAAACATACCAAAAATTAATTTCAAAGTGAACTATCCCTTTAAAAAATGACATTTTGCAGCCCAATATGTTTATTGACTACTTTAAGCACATTAGGGAACGGCCCGGCCATGTGCCGTGTTTACTGACACAGCAGACTAACCGCACACACACATAAAGTCATTCTTTTGAGTCCTACATCTATATCTGCACTGGGGTGTCTCAGACCAAACAAGAGGTCCCTGTTCCTTGAACTGTAACAGAAATTTAGAGGTACATAATTCAGTGTTCGCTGCCAAGTTGAAAAGCAATTTACATAACTCAAACTAATGACACCTACTGTGCTGGAGATTGTGTATTGGAGAGTTGAGTCAGAAAGGTGTTGAACTTCTCCACATGGGCCATCACCCTGCTGTGAGCCCAAAGGACATTTTTCTCTCTCCCAGAGGAAATACATGAATGTGTTTGAAAGATAAAGCCATTTCTATTTGTTATGCTATAGATTAGTGTAGTATCCTTGGTTAAAGGTATTTTAAACTGAATACATTAATTATAGAACTCATGCTGGGAAACCTGACCTTTTTATCCTTTATGATGGCTTAGCCATTTATGGTCTATCATGGTCTATTTTTATGGCCATTTATGTCACTGTTATCTAAAACAACATTATTGGGTCTAGCATAATAAATCTGGATGAGTTAACTCTGGTATTTACTCTATTTAACAAATAGGTGATTACTGATTACTATTATTGGACCCATAAGAATGCCAGGTTTTAACCCACAAGTCAGAGCCTGACCTCTACTAAGTAAACAATTCATTGTCTTCTCTGTTTATTGGTCCATTTGTTGACTCTATTCCTCATTGTGTGCTATAAGCCCTTCTTGAGGAGGGGTTCCCAATTCGTGTTGTCCTTGGATTGCTTTTTTTTTTCCCTGTCAGCCATTCTTGGAATGCTGGATCCTGGTTCTCCCACTATCTGTGTGTTAAAAGCAGGGAATGAGGAAACAGGAGTGCGATATATGGCATGTGTGTAAACAGCTTCTCTTTGGCTGAGTTGAATGAGGTGTATGTTGGTAGAATTGCTAAAACAGTGGTATTCTACAAGCTTTAATATTAAATAAACAATAAGGAAATTGCTTCAATAGATTGTGTCAGACACAAGTGCACTTGGCTCATTTAAGAGGGTTCATTGTTGGGTGAAGTGACTATTATGTTGTAGAGCAACACGATATGGAGCTTAAGGCAAGACAGAGTTACTGGATGTGTTTCCAATGAGACTTTGGTACAATGTGTCAACAGCATTGCTCTGTGACACAAACACTTGTTTCCCTAGAATTCTGGAAGAGCAGAGGCGTGACTTCACTGTTGAGAAGAAATCAGATTGATCAGAGCAGGTCTTTCTTGATTACATTCACCTTTTAATATACTTTATTTGCCTGTTTTCTTTTACTTTTTAGTTTCGATAAAACTTTTGAGAAAATTTAAAGCATAAACTCTAGCCTCCTCACCTAGAGGTTGCAAGACAGCGCTAAAGTTAAGATACTGATATACAGTAGGATATTGTGTAAGATATTCTTTTCATCTGAGTAATTAATGTGGATGTTTTTTTTATTATTCTTATTCAATTTTATTTTATTTCAGGCAGACTGTCAATCTGTATTAAAGAGATAGTTCATCCAAAAAAATGAAAATTCTGTCATCATTTTTTTCACCCTTGTGTCGCTACAAATCCATAGAACTTTTGTTCACTTTGGAACACATGATATTTTTCATAAAAATCTTAGAGATTTCTGTCTTTCCATTGAAAGTATATTCACCCAACTCTGATGCTGCAAAAGTATGGAGCTAATAATATGACAAAATGATTTGAATTTGAATTGTGTAAATTTGAATTATTTGCAAGTGTAATCTAACAAAACTGAATTTTAAATAGTTCTGAATTTGAATTTTTTTGGAACGAATATTGAACATCTGAAATTTAACAAACTGAAAGGTTTTTATGGCTGAATTTTATTGACATGTATTTTCAAACAGCTAGTTTTTGTGTTCTGAATTCAAATACTGCAAAATTTCAGTTTAAAAAAATACGGATTCAAGTTTTCAAGATGAAGAAATTCGGAACGTCAAATTCAGTTTTCTAAAATTCAATGTCAAAAATTCAATGTCAAAAATTCAGGTCTTACAGAAAGTAGGTCACAGGGAAGAGTAGATGATCTCGGAAAAGTCGAACAGAGCATTTTGGCCAATTAGGGACTGCAGAAGTTTTTCAGTCCGAACGTGGTGGTTCAAGAGGTTGCCGCTCTCTGACTCTGATCATGAATCGCCCGGAGGTAAGTTAAACATGAATGATTTTGTGTTTGTTAGGTTAGCGTTAGCGTCTAGGTCTAGGTTAGCGTCTAGATTGCGTCGTACATGTAAGCATAAGGTACGAGAGGGTGTGCTATGGTGCTGTATCGTGAATACGACGCGAACCAGAGTGCTTGCAAGTGCAACCCCTTCAGACGTGACTTATTCACAAGACAGCACTAGCCTTGAGTACCGTGTATTGCTTTTCTAAAGCGATTGCCACTCAATAATCATAATAAAGCAAAACAAAAATGTATTAGTGCAACTTTCATTATAAAATCACCAAAATCACCAAAAGTGATTAAAATCACCAAAAAAATCACCAAAAGCCTTCAACCTTCCGCTGGAAAAAAAATAGTCCCTGGCCGTGAGCAGCAGCATAAGTTAAAATATTTCGCCTGTAATGTTAGATGGCGGCAAAGACAGTCTTTATTACTGAGTCAGTCATCAGTCAGTAGAGAAGACTTTAATATTGAAAGGACAATTGCATTATGTTGGCATTATGTATAAAACCGGGTCATCTCAGTTTGGTTGAAGGCTTTTGGTGATTTTACTTAATGAAAGTTGCACTAATACATTTTTGTTTTGCTCGCGCCGCTCGCGTCCTGTCTGTGTAGTAGACACGGTGGCGTTCTAATCAATTTTACACAAAATATTACACAAAATATACTTTAAAACAAACACCAGAGACCGCTTAGACAAATGTATCACGTGCTGAGAACGCTAACCTAACAAACACAAAATCATTCTTGTTTAACTTACCTCCGGGCGATTCATGATCAGAGTCAGAGAGCGGCAACCTCTTGAACCACCACGTTCGCACTGGAAAACTTCTGCAGTCCCTAATTGGCCAAAATGCTCTGTTCGACTTTCCCGAGATCATCTACTCTTCCCTGTGACCTACTTTCTGTAAGACCTGAATTTTTGACATTGAATTTTTGACATTGAATTTTAGAAAACTGAATTTGACGTTCCGAATTTCTTCATCTTGAAAACTTGAATCCGTATTTTTTTAAACTGAAAATTTGCAGTATTTGAATTCAGAACACAAAAACTAGCTGTTTGAAAATACATGTCTATAAAATTCAGCCATAAAAACCTTTCAGTTTGTTAAATTTCAGATGTTCAATATTCGTTCTAAAAAAATTCAAATTCAGAACTATTTAAAATTCAGTTTTGTTAGATTACACTTGCAAATAATTCAAATTTACACAA